TCTCTCTCCCTCTCTCTTTTTCCTCAAGTTTCAGTGAAACTTCCCCAGCAGTATTTTTAAAAATATATTTGCCCATTCCCACTAAAACAAAGTTCTTTCACAATTTTGTGTCTGTGGGGGAGGGGGGGGGGAGTAAGGTTTTACGTCGCTCGCAACAGCATAAGGTCATATGAGGGCCAGGGGGTGGATGTCAACAGAGAAGACCAAATTTGGAATTAGGCTTACTCTGCTCACCTGTCTAGCCTCGAAAGCACAAAGTCTGCTTCGACTCTCAAGGCACCCCGGAAATAGCAGTTCATAAGAGATTGACAAACATACTAAAGAAGTAGAAGAAAATGACGATAGTAAGGATGAGGGGGAAAAAAGCAGCCTCTATGTTGTTCCCCCATAGTATGATTATGACATTGATAAATCAGCCCATTTACAATTCTACTGTGCCTAAGAACGTGGTAATATCCATCCTTTGGGAATGGCCTAAGCCTAAAGACACTTCAGCCAGTAGCATTGCCCTGGGGGGGGGGGGGTCACGACTGTGTTCTGTTCAAGGTAAACAAAACGTTCTGGATGATGCAGCGCATACATAAATGTTCTGCAGTACGTCGTGTTTTAACATGACACTATTCAAAACAGTTGAGTTTTTTTTCTAAAGGCATGACGCGCGATTTATAGACATCTCCGATTAGATCGAACCCAGTAGTTTCGAGCAATGGAAACTCCTCAAACATCAACAATGTTCTTTTTTCCTCAAGAAAACGCAGAAAGGCCCAGAAGAGAAGCAGCTCGCAGAACAATGATGCGGTCTCCGTGGATCATTTGAACGCCGAGAATGAAACCCACCAGAGCCCGTATGTGAATGAGGAGAACACAGGTAAGAGTTGTGTCAGAGTACATCACAGACAAAAGTTTTGTTTGGGTACACAGGTAAGACTTTTGTCATGGTACACAAGTAATGGTCTTGTCAGGGTACACAGGTAAAAGTTTTGTCAAGGTACACAGGTAAAAGTTTTGTCAAGGTACACAGGTAAAAGTTTTGTCAGGGTACCGCTTTTCTAGACACTTTGGAGACTTCTTACGCTTGCATGATGTCGTGGAATATATACCATTCTTTTTTTTTTTTATTCGTATTTATGTAGCTGTTTTGTACGCCCTCACCGACACACACAATCTACAACATTTAAGAGACGGGCTTCGACCTTGTCTTTAAGAGCCAAGCCAGGCTGAGAGAGGTACAATGTCCCAGCTGACAGACAGAGAGACTCGATGGAGATTCTCCCCACACGGGAATCGCACAAAGGTCTTCACATTCTGTGTGTGACGGGAAAGCGTTTAATCGGTGCACTACAGATACTGATTTTCTTCATTCGTCCGACAAAATAATACATTAATTGCTCTTTGAACAGCTGAAAGGGTGGAATAGTGACATTCAGGAGACACCAAGATGTGCGTTTGGTCATAAATATTAAGTATTATGGACAGGGCATTATTTCATTCTTCAGATAATATACTATTATTATGCTGTTGTTCTCTGGTAATCAGGGGATAAGTCGAGAGGATTGTTATATGGTGTATGTGGTCTAGTGGTTAGGCTACTAGACTCGTCATCGTGAGGTTGCGGGTTCGGGGGTTCGAGACACGGGCCCGACGTTGTGTCCTTGGGAAAGGCACTTAACACGACTTTACCTCGCTTCACCCAGGTGAGAATGGGTACCCGACCATAGACAGCGAAAGATCTTGTCAGTATGTAAATGTTTTAGAGCCTATAAATGGCTGCTTGCACTGTATGCTTCCCAGGAAGTTGAAGTTGTTTCAGAATGCTCTCACGTCTGCTGGGGTAATAGTATAGATTGGGAAGCGCATAGAGCCTGCTGTTGAGAGGGGATTTGCGCTATACAAATGCTATCTAATATTATTATCATTATGTAAGACAGTCTAACTTAGTGATATCTTTATTAACACCAAAAAATGTTCACAAATCAGAGGTTACAATAATGATACTTCTTTACGTTATGGCCAATGAAGTAAGATGGGGGAATTCCACACTCAACTTTTTCAGTTGGTTGTCAGAAAGTTTCTACTGATGAGGTGATCACACAAACAGAGGACACGTATCCCAGAACCATTCAAACTGGAATTCAGTACAAATATCAGAAAAAGTAACAATGCTTCATAGATTCCAGTTTTTCCTCTTTATTAACATTTTTATACGAAACGACAAATGCAGTTTTTTTGGTCACCTGAATAGACAGAAGGGTCTTGAACATTTAGCTCTCACTGACAAAATTGAGGGCAAACGAGGCAGGGGTAGGCCAAGAACAACATACTTAGGGAACCTGAACAAATGGGTAACAGAGAAAGATCAGGGAAATGTAGCTATTTTTAGAGCATCCGAGCAAAGGAATGAATGGATAACCATGATCACCGATGTCAGTCGCAGATCTGGCACTGGATGATGATGATTAACATTTCCACCATTTCAGGGTAATTCCACACCCATCATGACAGACCTGCAAAAACCAGAATTAAACAAACAGGAACAAGAAGTTACATCTGAATTGAGCACAACAACAATCTATGTAGATTATCATGAATGAGAACAGTGGGGGCCTAGGCCTATAAAAAATTATGGGGATACGTCTTGAAGAAAATAAATTACAAATCAATTTCAAACAAATTTCTGTTCACTTTTGATGTCGGTCGAGGGACATAGACAGGGTCAGTGTCACTGTCGGTGTAGTCACTGTCTGCGTCACTGTTTGGTCTGTGTTGTAGAGGTGGCTGTTCATTTTCAAGAGCATTGTCACTGTCACTGTCGTCACTTGGATGAGGAGGAGGAACAGCAGCAGCAGCTGTCTTCTTTCCTGTGCATCTTTCCTTACACTTCCCCTTTCCTTTGCTCTTCCCCTTTGCTTTCTTTGCGGCTCTCTCCTCTTCTTCAAAGTTAAAGAACATTTAGCAGCATTTTGCAATCTTTGAAAACCATGAGTGTTGCACTTACAAGGGGCATACCAAACGTTTTTTACCTGACCATGAGGGAATAAAGATAGAAGGCTGAAATATGGGGTGAAAGCCAACAGTTATCTTCTTAGATTGCTTATAAATTTTTGGGAATTTCAGATTACTGCTTTTAACATCAGCGCACTCTCAGTGAAAGGGGGTATGTTGTTCTCCAGTTTCAACATAAAAATGGAGAAAATTGAGCGCAGTGTAGTGGTGAAGTATTTGTTCTTGAAACAGGATATTTGTACGGAGATACATGCCGTACATGAAACTGATTGCCCATCCTATGCTGTGATGAAATTTTATTTTGTTGTAAATAAAAAGTGTTCATGTGGTCAAAGGAGCGGTAGAGGGCTGGTTTTCTGACATAGAGAGGGTCCTCTATTCTCAAGGTCTTTTCAAGTTCATACACAGATGGCAAACATGTTTAACTCTGGGAGGCGACTACATAAAAAAGACTAATCTGAGTACCAAATGTCAGCTTTCTACCTTTATTCCTTCTTGGTCAGGTAAAAAAAAACTTTTGGTATGCCCCTCGTACCTTCGACAGACTTGTCAAAAGTGTCAGAATGCAACAGTCGTACAGATGGCTGCGTGTTGTGTTCAAACAGGAAGTAGAAGTCAAAGGCAGTTGAACAATTGGAAGAGTTCCCGATTCGCCATTCGTGTTGTCTTCCTGCGAAGGTCCAGCTCTAAGGAAATCGGGTGTAGAATTACCCCCCCCATTTTAACATTCATTGTTTTATAATGTTTGCCCAGAAAAGGTCACTAAGCCTTTAACCGTACTCTGCTTTTCATACGCTTTTAAGTGGGGGTTTTAAAATCTTTTTTTGTTGTTGTTGCTCACGTAATTCTTTTCTAAATTGTGCTTTCCATTTAAAAAATGGAAATTTTCCCAATATTCCAGACAACCACAGGCCACCAGTAGAAAACACTCAGACTACCAGAGGACCAAGACACACAGCTCAACCAGTGGCTGATGTAGATGATCAGCACTTGTACGAGGAATCTCACTACCTTGAAATATTATAAAACACGCATGGAGGGAGACAGGGAGTGGAAATTAAAGTTTTTAAAAGATAAATAGGGAGACAGCGGAATAGAGATAACGATGGGCAGAGGGGTAGAGAGGGGGTGGTTAGAGAGAGAGAGAGAGAGAGAGAGAGAGAGAGAGAGAGAGAGAGAGAGAGAGCAGAGGGAGAGAGAAAGAGAGAGTGGGAGAAAGGGGAAGAGGTGGAGACATATACTTTTCTTCTTTACTCAGAGGTGAAAGAAACGCCAAATCTTTTATCGTTGTTAAAACGCTTGCAAAAGTTTCCATTGGGGGGTTACTGTTTATATGTTCCATGAAAGCATGGTCTAAACCTACTAGTGTAATCTCTTTCGAACAACGCAATACTCTGATTGGCTCCTTATACAACAAACAACTATACAATATCACAGCTCACGGGTACTCACTGTTCACACCGTTAGAGTAGTGAGATTGTGTACATGAGGTCACGTAGGCCTGGTCTATGAATTTGAAGCCTCAAAATATGGAATTCAGTTAGATACGAAAGAAGAATCGAGATTCCGGGACTTCCTTCAGAAAACTGTGAGAGGGCTA